TTGTATACAATGATATAATATCATTGGATTCAAATTTAATTCCATCCATTACAGTAACCCACTTGTAACCTACTGTAAAGCAGAGCGACATACACGACTTACCCGCTTTTTTAAATTGACTATAATGATAAGAAAAATAACCGATGATAAGGTTATAGTATCAGCATATTGATATTACCATAGAACAATGATATTACACAATTGTATATTTAATACATCCGCGTATCAGCAATACTGCACAGATATCAGTAGACAGTAATTCAGAATTAGATAAAATACTAAAATCGTTTTTGTTTACAATAAATAACAATCAATTTAGTATTTTGGTTATTAGTGTACCTATAATTCCTTAGTCCATGATAAAAATAACTATAGTCTATGATTCATTGTTTGAGATTTTATAGTAGGAAATAAGGTAAAATTATGATTTAATGTTGATTCAATTTGTTTTTAATTAAGACTTCAATGTTGTAGACAAAAATGGAAAAGTTTTTTGCTTACCAAAAAGATAGCAGRACACCATGCAAATATGGGAGGAAATGTTTCCAAACMAATAAAAATCATACGGATAAATATAAACATCCACCAACTAAAGTAAGATATATTATAAATTAATTTATTGTGTTTATATGTAGTATTTCTAATGAATGTAGATTTCCTCCTCATGTCTTTTCCCCTTTGATTTATTGGATGTTTCTCATCACGGGTTTGATGTTTGTAGGATGATATTAAAGTGGACACTAAAAAAATTACAAGGAAAAGAGATTCAAAAGGAAAAGTTAAATTGCCCGACAAAACTAATGGAGAATCATCAAACAGCAATCATAGGAATAATGAAGAAAGTCCCAATAATGGCGGTATGTGTGATCTTCAATTCTAACACTATATTTTCAAAATGATAATTGTTTGTAATTTTCGTTTAAAGTTGTAGGTATCTAACTCTCAGATAATTGTAAATTTAAAATTGCAAAACTGAAAATACATATTTTATATGATCTATTAATATATTATTCAATCCTGTAATTTGTTTATCAAATTTTTAATGTTTATAAAAAAATAAAATTCTAATGTAAAAAATTCAAAACTAYGCATTAAGTAACACAACATTTATTAATATCTTAAAAGTTGATTTACTTTTATCCWAATCTATTCTAAAACATTCAAATTAGTTATAATTTTTATTTTTCATAGATGCAAATGATATGGAAGTTCCTGAACAACTTGAACAATCAATAAGCACTTCCAATCATGAACCTATTAGTATTATTTCTATAAGTAACCAACAAAACTCAACTGAATATGCTGTGCCATCAGCAAGACAACATTCTCAACAACAACAACAATTGTTATTGGTAAAAGAAAATAATACTCAGATAAATTACAATTTTGATGATTATAAATAACAATTTATAGTATTGAATATCAAAAGAAAATATTTTTTTAAATTATGTACCTATGAACCTGAATATGTCATTATTTTGTTCAAACTTTCTTTTTAAGGTTGGTTATTCAACCTGTTAATTAAYTGAGAAATCAAATGATTTTTATACATTGTTGTTTTAAAAACACTTGACTGTAGAGAGTWGAATTTTTCTCCAAATGTTTATATTATTATTGCCTATGCATGGTATAATTTTCTAAATTTGTGACTCCTTTAGATCTATTTATAGAYATTTTAAATTTTCAAATATTATAGTTTATTTTTCTATAAACATAAAAAGTTTTCACTGAGTCAGAAAATTTCAAGTTGTATCTAATTCTTGGTTCCTCTTTGATGTTATATAATGGTTGCCGCTTATATAGTGTTCAGCGGTTKTAAGGATCAGCCATTTAAATCATAAATTCAAGGAACAGTACTAATAGCCACTAACAGTGTATTTTTGGCATTTACTGTGTTTAGATTTTTGTTTATAGCGATTAGAAATAGAAATAATGAATCACATATCACCAACGTTTTTAAAAGAACCTAAATTTTATCTTATTTCAACTACGTATATATGTATTTATTTTGTATTTGTGCATGTTATATAGTCCATTTTTTATTAATTTTTTCAAAAAAAAATTATTTTCATGTTAATTTTTATCTGCTTAGAGTGATTAAAATACTCTTTTCCAAACTTGATCACTAAAATAAAAA